TTTATAAATCTTTGCTAAGTTTTGACCTTGTAAATGTTTTGTTGGTAAATATTTCTATCATGTAAATTATCTGATGTCCAAATTTAATCTCAATCAAGAATTATTTGTTGTTGAATTTCCGTAAGAGTGTGTGGCGAATTTAAATGTTGTGTTTTGCTCTTTGTTGAAACTTTAACACTTGTTCGGTTGTCATTTAATATTAGAGTCATAGAGATTGAACATTTAAATAGAATTGAAGGTATATAACACAATAACACGTAGTGTCGGCGATGGGCGCAGTTCCTAGTTGAGGTAGCGGAATGTGTCGCGCTCTCTGCACATATGTGCAGGCTTTGAACTAGATTTCAGTGGGAACGGTCTTGACGACGAGGTAGTAGTTGAACAGACTTCACCGCTAGTTTTAGGCCGAAACGGCCTGCTTGGACAACATGTTCGTAATGGAGGGGTGATGTCTGGCAGGCTTGGTGTAGATAGAATCACCGTCGCGGGGGAAACCAGCCCAGACCGGGAGCTCCAAACTTCGCTCACGCTACGACGCCCCCTCTGGGTATTTGATGTGCTCATAAATGAAATTGCTATATTTTGTTCTATGTTTGTTCGATCGCCACACTCTCATAATGATTCGGGTTCTGCCATCCAATTTACATATGTGTAGGTCTTGTGTTTGTTCGGTTTTCATATGTGTATGTCTGTCAATTCGCGAGTGTTTTCTTTCACATATCTTAAGGTGTTTGAAATGTAATATTTAGGTCGTCCGGGAATAAAACCAAGGGGGTTTTTGCGCTGAGGGGTAAATCTTCGCAGCGTATTTCCCCCTGTGAGGGTGGTGCCGTTTCCCCCCCCCTCCAAAACAATTTCTGTTAATTATTTCTTGCGCTCTCGACAGTGTATGCACTTGTATGAAAGAACTTCCTCCCGCCATTTTTCAAAAACAAAAAAAAAAAACACACAACGTAGGTTCTCATTTGTTAGACGATCACAGCCAAGGCCAAACTTTAAATTTTTGAATTTTTCGCGGGCCTTTCAAACTGTTTCAAGGTCAAATTTTAAGGCGGGAAGTTTGGGTTATCACAATATACTTAAACAATGGTATGACTATTACCTCTAAATGTACTGTCAACAGAGACTCCACAGTTTTAGCTATTGCTGTAGTCGGTCTAAGTTTGTAAATACGTCCAAAATCCGAAGCCGTAACCCTAATTTCTCTTTCTTTTGCCCAAATGTGCCTGTTGCCTAGTGTCTATTCAATTTGGTCTAAATTCAAAGATAATGTTCTCAAAAAAACCTCTTGGCTGTCACAAATGTTTCTACATCCATGACAGGATTTTCTAAAAAATATTTAAACCATAATTGCAGTCGGGACCAGCATACGAAAATTTTTTTACGACATATATATTTTTTTTACGAATACTGTCTAAGACGAGCTTGTTTTATAGACGAATAATATTTTTTTGTTATTAAACCAGGACCGTTTTAATCACAATATATTTACTTATCCCCTCTAAAAAATTGATGACGTCACCTCAAAATTTTGCTGAATAAATCCTATCTAAATTGTATAAAATATGATGAGTCTCTTCTTGTGATTTATCATTCCATTCATGTTTTTTGGATTTGCATATACAGAATGACCCCAAAAATTAATGAATGCGTAAATTTATTTTATTGATTTAATCAGGAACTACAGAACCCAATGCTTTGAAATCTTGCAAATGTTGTAAGGTTGTAAAGGGCATAATCAATTTTTAGTCAAAATATATTTGCTTATCCCCTCCAAAAAATTGATGACGTTACCTCAAAAGTTTGCCGTATAATCCTATTTAAAATTTACAAAATATGATGAGTCTCTTCTTGTAATTTATCATTCCATTCATATTTTTTGGATTCGGATATACAGGGTGACTCAAAAAATTTAATGAACGCGCAAATGTATTTTATTGATTTATTTTTAATCAGGAATTACAAAACCGAATGCTTTGAAATCTAATGTGAAAAAAAAACATAATAGGCATGCAGTCGTCACGTTTCCGATAGCGATGGAAGTACTGTCTAAACTCTTTAGACCAATTTTTTTGATTTTTCCATTTCTCAATTTTTCAATGTTTCAGTTTGGAATTTTTTCACTGTTTCGATTCTTTACTTTTCCTTCCATTTTTAGGTTTTTCAATATTTCAGCTTTAGAATTTTGCAGTATTTCGTTTTTTCAATTTTTCAAATTTTTGATATTGGGTTTTCTTGGTTTTTAAATTTTTCGATATTTTAATTTTTCAGTTTTTAAAGTTTTAGGTTTTTAGATTTCTCACTATCTCGACTTTTCGATTTTTCAGTTCCATGATTTTTCAATTTGTCGAATTTTTAAATTTTAGATTTTTTGTTCTCGATCATTCAATTTTCTGAGTTTTCAGGCTTAGATTTCTTTTGTTGTTCAATTCTTGGATTTTTAAAATTTTTGTTTTTTAAATTTTCCTATTTATCAACTGGGATTTCAATGTTTTTATTTTTTGATTGTTCAATTTCTCGATTTTTTGAATTTTTAGTTTTTGATACGATTTTTTTTTCAAAAATTTTCAGTTTTTCAATTTATTAACTTTACGATATTTCAGTTTTACGATTTTTAATTTTTTTTACTTTTCAGTTTTCAATTTTTGACGTTTCTAAATTTTTCGATTTTTCAATTTTTCGATGAACTGATTGTTTGATTTTCCCATTTCTCTATTTCTTGATTTTTCAATTCTTTCTTCAATTGTGATTTTTCAATTTTTCAATTTCTGGGATTCTTCAATTTTCTTTCCATTTTTCAGTTTTTCAAGATTTCAGTTTTGAATTTTTTCACTTTTTCGATTTTTCAATTTTCTTTCCATATTTCAGTTTTTCAGTATTTCAGTTCTGAGATTTTGCAATGTTTCAGTTTTTCCATTTTTCGATTTCTCGGTTTTTCAATTTTTCGATAGGTATTTTAATTTTTCAATTTTTAAGTTCTAGATTTTCCGTTAATTTTTTTTGTTTTCCTTAATGTTTTGATTTCTCGATTATTCGATTTTTCAAGTTCTCGGTTTAGATTTTTTGGTTTTCCAATTCTTCGATTTTTAAATTGTTGAACAGTAGTTGCACCAAATTTCTCTTTTTCTGCTTCTGGTAGTTGATTCTAACCCCCATTTTGTGCAAGTTTTGGTCGAAATGTATAACTTTCGACAAAAGCTGCATTGTTTTTTGATGTTTCGTGATCGCGAGTAACCACACAGCTACGACGTACGTGCAGTTGGCGACGACCATTATGAGTTCCACAGTTTGTAGCAACAGTTGGCTTTTGTAAATTGTTGCTTTTGTATAAATTGTGTAGACGGTGTAGTTTGAAAACAGGATTAAGGCTAAGAGGTTGCAATAAATTCGAAAGTTCGATTTCTTGAAGCCGTTTTTCGTTGTGTTGAGGACTGTGATTCCCAAAATTTGGTTTTGGAAGTGAAGTATCTTGAACGCGTTGACGTATTTTTGGAAAAGACACATTGTGGTGGGTTTTATGTAGACTAATTTGTTTCGTGTGTGGAAAGTGCAATTAAGAATGTTCGTGTCGAGCAGGAATCGATAGAGCCTAATTTTAATTTGTCGCTTGTACTAGAAGAATGGTGTAAGTCGTGATCGCTGCACTTATCTGAAATATATATTAAAAAAAAAGTGATTTAGGTAAGTTTAGGTAAACATTTCAAACACTTACGGAAGCGATTAAAGATATACTAATTGGAAAAAGTTTTGCCCCACTGAAACCACTTTTTTTCGTAGCGACGACTTGGAAGAAAAACATAGAAATTTTGTCTGATGTAGCAGAATCTGGCATTCGTATCGAGTGCAAAATTTTTTGAGTATTGTTTGCCTGGAAGGTAAAATTAAAATTGAAAAAGTACTTTTCAAAGGTATACCTCGGCCATTGTTTTATCGCACGCAACGCAGATATATAGCATGTCGCTGTAAAACGGCAACGAGAATAAAACTATTCCCATGATAAAAAGATAATCCATCTGGTTTGACATTACGGCGAAAATTATATAAAAACAACATATAGCGATCGAAACAAACGTCAATCCAAAAAAAAGTACCATTTGTGTCCCAAAAACCAAATTAAAGTGTTTCACAACCGTCTCTAAATTTTTGTGCATGTCACATATATCACACAAAACCTTCAGCCGATTTTGTTCAATTTCTTTAACAAACAACTCTCCCAAAATTTTATTTAGTTCCACAAATCGCTGCTGAATCATTAAAACAATCTGAACACTCTGAAGGCACGTCGCAGTTTTATACACATTTAACACAGTGCGGACAATTTCAGTGTACGCTTCAAACCCCCGCAAATACACACGCACCACAAACACATACAAAGTCACAAAAACCACCAACGCGTATCTAGTAATCATCTGCACCAAACCGCGCCGTCTTTGCTTTTCGTAGCCCACGCAGCCCCCAATTTTTTCCAGGTTTGCATCAAAGTCGATTATTTTGCAATGGAGTTGCTGCATTTTCTCGCGATTAGTTAGTGCCAAGACCCAAGCACTTGACACGTAGATGTAATTTCCAACGACCATGATTAGTTCGGTGCTTTGGAAAATCGGGCCTTCTTTGAGCACTGTCGTTTTTAGGTAAATTGTGTAGGTGCAGTAGGCTGTAAAAAGCAAGATCGCTACAATGTTGAAAAAACACTGCGATCTTGATTTCCGGAACTTGGTTTTGGTTGGGGTAAAAACCGCAATGCCGAGAATTCGGTTGTGGCCAAGGAGAATCTGGATGCTGTTGGTATATTTTTCAAAAGGTGACATTTTTGGTGGAATGTGGGTCATTGGATCGATTGTGTTGTTTTAAGGTAATGATCAGTCAATTAGTATTAGGTGCTTTCACGTAATTTAATGACAGCGCACTCTAATTAAAGCGATTTTTATTAAATTAGTTTTAATTTATGTTTATTAAACGATTGTGTAATGTATTTTAAATTACATTTCTTCCAATTAGATTTATTTAGCGAGCAGTGTGGACGACAATTGAATTAAAATTATTATATAAGTTGTGATCCCCCCGATAATCTACAACAAAAGTCAGATTTATAACACTTTCTTGTCAACTTACCGAAAAAATCAAAGTGTGATCGATGGCGAAAAACTGTGCCGCGCTAAACTCAATCGGGCCGTTGTAAATTTGCAAAGAAAACATTTCCACTTCGTCGATAACATCCTCATCTTCGGTTTCAATCTTGTGTATCAACTCTCCAATTAAATGTGCCTACAAAAGACCCACTCTGTCAAATTCTACGAGCTATGAAACGTCGAACAATAAAATACCTCTTCCACGGTTTTGTAGCAAACGTTGCAGACGTACACCACGTCTCCCAGGAACGGAATACTCAAAATGATAGCCAAAGTTCCGTGTTGCCAGTCAGTTTCGGCCGTCTGTACACTAGCGCTTATATAGAAAAAACAAAGAACAGTCGTGACGAAGCTCAACCCGAACATCACCAACAACAACATCCCAAAAGTTTTATTAAAAAGCTTGTTGATTTTGATAAGGTGGTGATGCATGTCGCAGATTTTGCACAAAGTTTTGAATTTGCGCCCATTTTTGCGTCTCGGGTTGTCTTCAGAATCTAACAATTCTCGTAGATGTTTGTTCAGGATTTCCAAGCGGGTTTTGATTATGGAAACTAGTTGGACGGCTTGGTGGCAAGTGACGCTTTTAATTAGGAGTAGAACGTCCCGTAGGAGCTCGAAGAGGAGTTCTTCGCCACATATGTAGACTCGGATGACCAGAAACGACACCACCGTGAAAACCACGACGGTGTAACGTATGGTAGACTCCAAAAGGTCGCGTTTTCGTTGCTTGGTGTAGTCTACGCCATCCCCGAACTGGTACAAATTGCGATCGAAAGTGATGATGGCGTTCAAAAGGTGCGAAAATTTGTCGCTGTTGAAGAGGGCGTGCAACCAGACGGCTATAACGTAGATGGAGTTGATGATGATGAGAATGACGTCGGTGCTTTTGTAGAGGACGGTGTTGTTAGCGAGGTAGATCTTCTGGTAGAAGACGAGTGCTGCGAAAACGAGGAACAGCGACATTGCGATGAGGATGAAGATGGTTCGGGGTTTGGATTTCTGGAACTTGCGGTTGGAGATTGTTAGGGTGGTGGTGCCCAGAAGCTGGTTCTGGAGGAGGACGACGCTGATGCTGTGGACGAACTTGTCGAAGATGTGCATTTTGGGGCTAAGTTTTTGGGGTCTGGGTTGGAGTGTGATATTTGGGTAGTAATTAAATGAGCTGTTAGTGTTGTTGTTTCATCGTCTAGTGGAGCGAAATCGATGAAATTCATTCCATTAACACTGTCTCCCTCCCTCCCTTCATAGTACTCTAACTATAGATTAATATAGATGCGACATACACTACAACTCGTCGCCTGAGAACTTGTTTGATCTACAGACCAGAGCGCGCTCAGGCCAATGTCGACTCTAAGCATTCAGAAGCGATGTGATGGTCGATTTTTATAACGACGTACGAATATTTTTGGTACATATTTAGATGATTTTACATATTTTGTTTAACTAAGAACTAATTCTTTATTTGTGTTTTATACTAGCAAAATGTCTTAAACTACGAATATTATTGAAATCGTAATAACCCAATGGATTTTTTTCGGGAAAATGTTTTGGAAACACTGTGTTCTATTTTGTATGAATTTTTAAATGTTTTTAGTGACAATTTTTTGCCGTTGTTTTCGATACACTGTATGATTTTAACAGTGAGAAAAAAACTGAAATATCAAAATAATCGAAAATTCGAAAAATGAAGAAATCTAATAATCGAAAAACCGAAAAATCAAAAGATCAAGAAATCGTGGAGTCGAAAAGTCGAACAATTGAGAAACCGAATAGGCCAAAATCGAAAAATCGAAAAGTTAAAAAATAAACTGAGAAATTGACAATCAAAATATCTAAAAGTCCAAATCTAGATAAATCGAGAAATCAAAAAACTAAAAAATTTGAAAAATTGAGAGATTGAAAGATCAAGAGAACGAGAAATCGAAAAGTGATGAAGTCGAAAAATCGAAAAATAGAGAAATCGACAAACAAAAAGTTAAAAGTTGAAAAATTGGAAAAGCGGAAAAATCAAAAAACGAAAAAATGGAAAACTGGAAAAACTGAGAAACCGAAATAGGCCAAAATAAAAAATTGAAAAACTGATAAATCGAAAACCTGAACGATCAAATCTCGATAAATCGGGAATGAAAAATTAATAAATCGAAAAATTGAAAAACAGAACATCTAAAACCAGGAGGCCGAAAAATCGAAAGATTAAGAAATATTGAAAAATTTAAATATCAAAAGATCTAAAATTTAAAAATCCAAAAATTAAAAAATCGAAAAAGTAGAAATCGAAAAATCCAGAAGTCAAAAATAGAAAAGCCGAAGAATAGAATTATTGAAAAATCCTAAAACTGAAATATCTAAAAACTGAAAAATCGAAAAATCAATAAAGTGAGATCGAAAAATATAAATCTTAAAAAATCGAAAAATTTAAAAATCAAAAACCTGAAAAATCAAAAAAATTAAAGAATTGAAGAACAGGAAAATCCAAACACTCGAAGGTCAAGAAATGGGTAAATCAAAACATCGATTAATTGAAAAATCGAAAATTTAACAAAATGACAATTGAAAAACAGAACATCTAAAACCAGGAAGTCGAAAAATCGAAAGATTAAGAAATATCGAAAAATTTAAATATCAAAAGATTGAAAAATCTAAAATTTAAAAACCCAAAAATTGAAAAATCGAAAAAGTAAAAAGATAGACACATCGAAAAATCCAGAAGTCAAAAATAGAAAAGGCGAAGAATTGAATTATTGAAAAATCCTAAAACTGAAATATCTAAAAATTGAAAAATCGAAAGATCAAAAAAGTGAAGTCGAAAAATAGAAATCTTAAAAAATCGAAAACGTGAAAAATCAAAAACTTGAAAAGTCAAAAAATTAAAGAACTGAACAACAGGAAAATCGAAACCCTCGAAGGTCAAGAAATGGGAAAATCAAAACATCGATTAAATGAAAAATCGAAAAATTGAGAGTTTATGAAAGTCAAATTTGAAAAATAAAAAAATCGAAAATTTGACAAAATGACAATTGAAAAACAGAATATCTAAAACCGGGAAGTGGAAAAATCAAAAGATTAAGAAATCGAAACATTTGAAAAATTCGAAAACTTGAAAAATTCAGATATCAAAGAACTGAACTGAAAAATCGAGAAATCGAAAAATCTAAAATTTTAAAAATTAAAAAATCTAAAATTTAAAAATCGAAAAATTGAAAAAAAAAAGTAAAATAATCAACATCGAAAAATCCAGTAGTCAAAAATCAAAAAGCCGAAGAATCGAAATGTTGAAAAATCTCAAAACTGAGATATCGAAAAACTGAAAAATGAAAAAAGAGAAACTGAAAAATTGAAAACCTGAAAAATCCGAAAAATTAAGTATCCAAAATCTAAAATTTAAAAATTGAAAAATTGAAAAAACGACAATTGAAAAACAGAAAATCTAAAACGGAGAAGTAGAAAAATCGAAAGATTAAAAAATCGAAAGATTAAAAAATCGAAACATTTGAAAAGTTGAAATATGGAGGAGCTGAAATGAAAAATCGAGAAATCGAAAAATGTATCATTTTAAAAATTCAAAAATCTAAAATTTAAAAATCGAAAAATTGAAAAAAAAAGTAAAATAATCAACATCGAAAAATCCAGTAGTCAAAAATCAAAAAGCCGAAGAATCGAAATGTTGAAAAATCCCAAAACTGAGATATCGAAAAACTGATAAATGAAAAAAGAGAAACTGAAAAATTGAAAACCTGAAAAATTCGAAAAATGAAATATCCAAAATCTAAAATTTAAAAATTGAAAAATTGAAAAAACGACAATTGAAAAACAGAAAATCTAAAACCGAGAAGTAGAAAAATCGAAAGATTAAAAAATCGAAACATTTGAAAAATTGATATATGGAGGAGCTGAAATGAAAAATCGAGAAATCGAAAAACCTATCTATAATTTGAAATATTGAAAAATCTAAAATTGAAAAATCGAAAACGTAAAAAGGTAGACACATCGAAAAATCCAAAAGTCAAAAATACAAAAGCCGAAGAATTGAATTATTGAAAAATCCTCGAACTGCAATATCTAAAAACTGAAAAATCGAAAAATCAAAAAAGTGAAGTCGAAAAATAGAAACCTTAAAAAATCGAAAAATAGAAAAATCAAAAACCTCAAAAATATAAAAATTGAACCGAATAACAGGAAAATCGAAACACTCGAAGGTCAAGAAATGGTAAAATCAAAACATCGATTAATTGAAAAATCGAAAATTTGACAAAATGACAATTGAAAAGCAGAAAATCTAAAACCGGGAAGTCGAAAAATCAAAAGATAAAGTAATCGAAACATTTGCAAAATTCGAAAACTTGAAAAATTCAAATATCGAAGAACTGAATTGAAAAATCGAGAAATCGAAAAATTGAAAAATCGAAAAAGTAAAATAATCAACACATCGAAAAATCCAGGAGTCAAAAATCGAAAAGTCGAAGAATCGAAATATTGAAAAATCCCAAAACTGAAATATCGAAAAACTGAAAAATGAAAGAGAAATTGAAAAATGGAAAACCTGAAAAATCCGAAAACTGAAATATCTAAAAACTGAGACCCTAAAAAATCGAAAAATTGAGCAATCGAAAAATCCAAAAAGTGAATTCGAAAAATCGAAACCTTAAAAAAACTAAAAAATGAAAAATCGAAAAATTAAAGAATTGAAGAACAGGAATATCGAAACCCTCGAAAGTCAAGAAATGGGAAAATCAAAACATCGATTAATTGAAAAATCGAAAAATTGAGAATTTATGAAAGTCAAATTTGAAAAATTAAAAAATCGAAAATTTGACAAAATGACAAATGAAAAACAGAAAATCTAAAACCGGGAAGTCGAAAAATCAAAAGATTAAGAAATCGAAACATTTGAAAAATTTGAAAACTTGAAACATTCAAATATCGAAGAATTGAACTGAAAAATCAAAAAAGTAAAATAATCGACACATCGAAAAATCCAGGAGTCAAAAATCGAAAAGTCGAAGAATCGAAATATTGAAAAATCCCAAAACTGAGATATCGAAAAACTGAAAAACGCAAGAGAAACTGAAAAAGGAAAACCTGAAAAATCCGAAAACTGAAATATCCAAAAACTGAGAACCTAAAAAATAGAAAAATTGAGCAATCGAAAAATCCAAAAAGTGAAGTCGAAAAATCGAAGCCTTAAAATAACTAAAAAATAAAAAGGAATTGAACAGGAATATCGAAACCCTTGAAAGTCAAGAAATGTCAAAATCAAAATCTCTGAAAAATCAAAAAAAATGATAGTTCATAAATATCAAACTGAAAAAATTGAAAAATCGAAAATTTGAAAAAATGACAACTGAAAAACAGAAAATCTAAAACCTGGCAGTCGAAAAATCGATAGATTAAGAAATCAAAACCTTTGAAAAATTCGAAAACATGAAAAACGGAAATATCGAAGAACTGAAATGAAAAATTGAGAAACCAAAAATCTAAAATTTTTTATATTGAAAAACTAAAATATCAAAAAACTGACAAATCTAAAATTTAAAAATCGAAAAATTTAAAAAAACGACAATTGAAAAACAGAAAAGTAGAAAAATCGAAAGATTAAGAAATCGGAACATTTGAAAAATTGAAATATGGAAGAGCTGAAATGAAAAATCGAGAAATCGAAAAATCTAAAATTTTAAATATTGAAAAATTAAAATAACAAAAAATTGAGAAATCTAAAATTTAAAAATCGAAAAAACAAAAAGTCGACACATCGAAAATCCAGAAGTTAAAAAATGGAAAAGTCAAATAACAGTAATATTGAAAAATCCCAAAACTGAAAAATGAAAGAAAAACTGACGAATCGAAAAACTGAAAAATTACAAAACTAAAATATCCAAAAACTGAGAACCTAAAGAATCGAAAAATTGAGAAAACGAAAAATCAAAAAAGCGATTAAACAAAACGAAAAATTGAAAAATCAAAAACCTGCAAAATCGTAAGATCGCAAAATTGAATAATAAGTAAACTGAAAAATCCCAAAACTGAAATGTCCAAAAATTGAGGAATTAAAAAATTGAACAATTGAGAATTCGAAAAATCAAAAAAGTGAAGTTGAAAAATCGAAACCTGAAAAAATGGAAAAACCAAAAAACCTGAAAAATCAGTATTGAAAAATCAACAAATAAAGAGTTTATAAAAGTGAAAAATTGAAAAATCCAAATATTTAAAAATTCTTAAAATTGAATAGAAAAACTGAAAACCGAGAAATTGAAAAATTGAGAAATTGTAATATCCAAAAATTGAATAATAAATAGGAGTAAACTGAAAAGTCCCCAAACTAAAATTTCGAAAAACTGAGAATTCGAAAGTCGAAACAACAAGAAATTATGGTCGAAACCGGTTAGGATGTGTATCAGATCAAGGATCATGGCTTATTAATCAAATCGTTTCCGAACGCTTAGAGTCGACATTGGCCTGAGTGCGCTCGGGTCTGTAGATCAAACAAGTTCTCAGACGACGAACTGTAATTTGTGTGACCTGAATTAAAGTGAAGGAAACAGTAAGCAGCTGGTAATATTCTGGTAAATCTAGTGTCAATTTGTCGAAAGTAAAACGCGTCGTTAAAAATATTATGACATTGTTTCTATTGTAGTTAATTTTATTCCTATTTAACTATTTCTCTATGTTCTCTGCTCTAACTGTATCATGTTATTAACAATAGAGAACAATTTAAATGCGCACTAGTTTTAATGAAATGTGAAATAAGTCCCAGCATTATTAAAAACATTTGAGCACAGAAGAAACTATTTCAGCATTTGTAAAACTGAAAGGGCAATAAATAAAATAAAGGCAGATTATTTTTCCTATTTGCGCAATAAATAATGCAATTTAGAATTATTTAATTAAATTTGCTCATTCGTTAAAATAACTGTTTCTTTAATAATTCAATTTGTATTTGAGAAAAAATAAACGAGCATTTCAAATGTTCCGTAAATTACTAAAATGTGCATTAGTTCACAGTAAAGTGGGCATTACACTCTCACTCTTTAAAAGACTAAAGCAAAAAAACCTTTAATTATTATTCACTAAATTAATAATGTTTAGTAATTAAGTTTCTTGATGAAAGAATGTTTATTTTAAGTTTCTTTATTAATTTTTTCAAAACTTTTAATTTGTTTAGCTACTTTTTTGCTATAAATATCTTATGTTTTTGTTAATTTTGTATGCATTCATAAAATACATTTTAATACAGCAGGTCTATTTTTGTTTGTTATTTTCTATACAGTTTCAATAATGCACGCAGTACAGAAAATCATTGCCCAAAACAATAATTTTATTATTCCAGTTTGCACTTAGTATAACGCACAAAATGCAAAAACTTATGGCACAACATAGTAAATTTAATGCACAAAGTATTAAAAATAATGCACACTTAATTACGACTCTTTATAACGATATTTCAAACTGGAACTCGGCACTTCATATCGGTCTCTGCACGTCTTATTTCGTTCTTGCGCTTCTCGTACCCAGATGTCGCCACTGCACCTCCCTCCCGCCGCTCGTTCTCCCATCCCTGCGCCTGCACGAAGAGGGGAGATGTCGTAATAATAGAAAGAAAACACACTCAAAACGAGAGCAATGTCGTAATGGTGGTTTGTTTGGGAATCGCGATGTAAATCGTTCACATCCTCCATTTCTCGTTCGTCTCACCTGCGAAACCCGCGCCGACCGCGCGAAATCCGCCACCCGTGCCAACCCCATTCACTCGATGTGCATTTATCCGCGAATTCCGGAGGTTAAGTGAAAAAGTCTCGTTCGCTTCGATGTCCGCGATGTTTGGGTTCGGAAAGACATAAACACCAGTGGTTCAACAGCGAAATCGACGACTAAAGACGTGTTTCAGTGATTGTGAGTGCGTAAGTCATGGAAGGCCACATCGAACGGGAATCCGGAGCCCTCGGCGGGCTCTTCCAGCAGATCATACAGGACATGAAGGTGAGGGGTTGATTCAATGTTTTGGGATTTCGGACCGCCGCGGATTTGTGGAAGAGAGCGGCGCGGAATGACTGATCGAAACCCGTTTTTAATTATGTGTAATGAGAGCAGGCGAGTTTTTGCCATAAAGATCAAAGGCGCTTACGCAATTTGCCCATAATTGGGCTTAAGGGGCACAGCCAGGGCCGGCTCGGATGAGACGGGGTTTCGGTTTCGCTTATTTCGCAACGAGATTTATCGATACCTGATAAGGCGATAATGCGTTCGAGTAATATGACGATTTTTGGGAAAAAACGTTTGGTCTACGAGGATGTTTTCTTCCGAATTTCTTGCAAGTTTGGCCCTCTGTCTCGCTCTGGCGCCCGCAAACAAGAGAGAAAGGCCGCTTGTAGGCGTACGCAGGGCATAAAGGCCATTTTCGCTGAAAAACACAACCGAAACATGGAGGCTGTTTGCCTTTTTGGGGTCCGTTGCGACAGCATTTCCGATTCTCTAATAAAATAAAAATAAACAGTAGGCGTGGGTCGGCATTGTGTCAACCGGTGACGTTTTATATTTAGATGATTTTCGACATTCGCCATTTGTGCGCCCTTATATTAATAATAATAATAGTAATAATTTATTTACAGAAGTACACAACACACTACACAAAATAATATTTTATAATACGTATCCATAGTGTCTTGATCTGTCTACAAGAGAAACAAGATTATGTTGTGGGACGGACGTGAAACCACAAAAACTTCGAATGAATCCGCTATCTGAAAAACAAAAAAACAATTGGGAGTCCCGAGAAGGTTTCACATAAAAAAAAGACATTTGGCGCCCCCGAGAAAGTTTACATTTTTAAAAAAGACAGTTGCAACCCCCGAGAAGATTTCACAATTGAAATAAGCCATTTGGCCCCCCTGAGAAGGCTTTACATTAAAAAAAATGATATTTGACTCCCCCGAGAAGGTTTTACATTTTTAAAAAAGACAATTGGGAGCCCCGAAAAGGTTTTAGATAAAAAAAAGACATTTGGGGTCCCCGAGAAGGTTTCACATTCTTAAAAAAAATACATTTGGGACCCCAGAGAAGGTTTTACATTTTTAAAAAACATAGTTGGGAGCCCCGAGAAGGTTTCACATTCTTAAAAAAAAATACATTTGGGACCCCCGAGAAGGTTTTACATTTAAAAAAATAAACCACTTGGGAGCCCCGAGAAGGTTTCACATTTTTAAAAAACACAGTTGGGAGCCCCGAGAAGGTTTTACATTTAAAATAATAAACCACTTGGGAGCCCCGAGAAGGTTTCACATTTTTAAAAAACACAGTTGGAAGCCCCGAGAAGGTTTTACATTTTTAAAAAAGACAGTTGCAACCCCCGAGAAGATTACACAATTAAAAGAAGCCATTTGGCCCCCCTGAGAAGGTTTTACATTAAAAAAAAAAAGATATTTGACTTCCCCGAGAAGGTTTTACATTTTTAAAAAAGATAGTTGGGAGTCCCGAGAAGGTTTCATATTAAAAAAATAAACCACTTGGGAGCCCCGAGAAGGTTTCACATTTTTAAAAAACACAGTTGGGAGCCCCGAGAAGGTTTTACATTTAAAATAATAAACCACTTGGGAGCCCCGAGAAGGTTTCACATTTTTAAAAAACACAGTTGGAAGCCCCGAGAAGGTTTTACATTTTTAAAAAAGACAGTTGCAACCCCCGAGAAGATTACACAATTAAAAGAAGCCATTTGGCCCCCCTGAGAAGGTTTTACATTAAAAAAAAAGATATTTGACTCCCCCGAGAAGGTTTTACATTTTTAAAAAAGATAGTTGGGAGTCCCGAGAAGGTTTCATATTAAAAAAATAAACCACTTGGGAGCCCCGAGAAGGTTTCACATTTTTAAAAAACACAGTTGGGAGCCCCGAGAAGGTTTTACATTTAAAATAATAAACCACTTGGGAGCCCCGAGAAGGTTTCACATTTTTAAAAAACACAGTTGGAAGCCCCGAGAAGGTTTTACATTTTTAAAAAAGACAGTTGCAACCCCCGAGAAGATTACACAATTAAAAGAAGCCATTTGGCCCCCCTGAGAAGGTTTTACATTAAAAAAAAAGATATTTGACTCCCCCGAGAAGGTTTTACATTTTTAAAAAAGATAGTTGGGAGTCCCGAGAAGGTTTCATATTAAAAAAATAAACCACTTGGGAGCCCCGAGAAGGTTTCACATTTTTAAAAAACACAGTTGGGAGCCCCGAGAAGGTTTTACATTTAAAATAATAAACCACTTGGGAGCCCCGAGAAGGTTTCACATTTTTAAAAAACACAGTTGGAAGCCCCGAGAAGGTTTTACATTTTTAAAAAAGACAGTTGCAACCCCCGAGAAGATTACACAATTAAAAGAAGCCATTTGGCCCCCCTGAGAAGGTTTTACATTAAAAAAAAAGATATTTGACTCCCCCGAGAAGGTTTTACATTTTTAAAAAAGATAGTTGGGAGTCCCGAGAAGGTTTCATATTAAAAAAATAAACCACTTGGGAGCCCCGAGAAGGTTTCACATTTTTAAAAAACACAGTTGGGAGCCCCGAGAAGGTTTTACATTTAAAATAATAAACCACTTGGGAGCCCCGAGAAGGTTTCACATTTTTAAAAAACACAGTTGGAAGCCCCGAGAAGGTTTTACATTTTTAAAAAAGACAGTTGCAACCCCCGAGAAGATTACACAATTAAAAGAAGCCATTTGGCCCCCCTGAGAAGGTTTTACATTAAAAAAAAAGATATTTGACTCCCCCGAGAAGGTTTTACATTTTTAAAAAAGATAGTTGGGAGTCCCGAGAAGGTTTCATATTAAAAAAATAAACCACTTGGGAGCCCCGAGAAGGTTTCACATTTTTAAAAAACACAGTTGGGAGCCCCGAGAAGGTTTTACATTTAAAATAATAAACCACTTGGGAGCCCCGAGAAGGTTTCACATTTTTAAAAAACACAGTTGGAAGCCCCGAGAAGGTTTTACATTTTTAAAAAAGACAGTTGCAACCCCCGAGAAGATTACACAATTAAAAGAAGCCATTTGGCCCCCCTGAGAAGGTTTTACATTAAAAAAAAAAGATATTTGACTCCCCCGAGAAGGTTTTACATTTTTAAAAAAGATAGTTGGGAGTCCCGAGAAGGTTTCATATTAAAAAATAAACCACTTGGGAGCCCCGAGAAGGTTTCACATTTTTAAAAAACACAGTTGGGAGCCCCAAGAAGGTTTCACATTTTTAAAAACGACAGTTGGAATCCCCGAGAAGGTTTTGCATTTTTAAAAAAGACAGTTGGGAGCCCCAAGAAGGTTTTACATTTTTAAAAAAGACAGTAGGAAGTCCCGAGAAGGTTTCATATTAAAAAAATATATTTGGGGTCCCCGAGAAGGTTTTACATTTAAAAAAATAAACCACTTGGGAGCCCCGAAAAGGTTTCACATTTTCAAAAACCACAGTTGGGAGCCCCGAGAAGGTTTCAGATAAAAAAAAGACATTTGGGGTCCCCGAAAAGGTTTTACATTTTTAAAAAAGACAGTTGGGAGTCCCGAGAAGGTTTTACATTTTTAAAAAGGACAGTCGAGAGCCCCGAGAAGGTTTCACATAAAAAAGATATTTGACGCCCCCAAGAAGCTTTTACATTTTTAAAAAAGACAATTAGGAGCCCTGAGAAGGTTTTACATTTTTAAAAAAGCCAGTTGGGACCCCGAGAAGGTGTTACATTTTTAAAAAAGACAGTCGGAAGCCCGGAGAAGGTTTAACATAAAAAAGATACTTAACGCCCCTAAGAAGCTATTACATTTTTAAAAAAGCCAGTTGGGACCCCGAGAAGGTTTTACATTTTTAAAAAAGCCAGTCTGGAGCCCCGAGAAGGTTTCACATAAAAAACAGACATTTGGCGCCCCCGAGAAGGTTTTACATTTTTAATAAAAGACAGTTGGAACCCCCGAGAAGGTTTCACAATAAAAAGAAGACATTTGGTCCCCGGGAGAAAGTTTTATTTGGTCCCCGGGAGAAGGTTTTACGCCATTTGTGGGCCCTTATTTTAATAATAATAATAGTAATAATTTATTTACAAAAGTACACAACACACTACACAAAATAATATTTTATAACACCTATCCATTAGGGTGATTCAAAAAAAAAAAATAATTTTTTTTTCGTGCAAAGAGGTTCAAAAGTTTCTTTTCAACGTAAAAAAATACCAGTTAAAATTTGAGCTCTTAATATTAATATTAAGACCGTCCGCATCGCGTTTTTCTATTTCCCATGAGAATAACATGCGAAAATTTTTGTTTGCACCTTCTGATTTTTATTGCTAGCCCGTCGTGTGTCGTGAAAAAAATTCAATCACATGTTTTTATAGAGAATTGAACGCTCTACAAAAAGTGTCTCCTATGATTGTGCGAGAAACCTGATAGTTGAAGAGTTATTTTAGGCTAAAGTTAAATTTATCCAAATTTTTACGTTTTTGATGCATTACAATAAATTTGATGGTCTTATTGGAATAAATCACCACAAAAATTTATACACATTTTAAATTTAGTTTTTTAAACAGTAATTGTTTATAATTTTATGCTATAATAAGGCCAGTAAAACTCTTTCCGAACATTTTCAGCATCAGTGGGTTAAAAAATCATAGTCAGGTTTCTCGCAAAATCATAGGAGACACTTTTTGTAGAGCGTTCAATTCTCTATAAAAATATGTGATTGAATTTTTTTCACGACACACGACGGGCTAGCAATAAAAATCAGAAGGTGCAAACAAAAATTTTCCCATGTTATTCTTATGGGAAATAGAAAAACGCGATGCGGACGGTCTTAATATTAATATTAAGAGCTCAACTTTTAACTGGTATTTTTTTACGTTGAAAAGAAACTTTTGAACCTCTTTGACACGAAAAAAAAAATTATTTTTTTTTTTTTGAATCACCCTACTATCCATAGTGTTTTGATCTAGAAGAAAAACAAGATTATGTTGTAGGACGGACGTGAAAC